TTACAAAATAATGGTCACCATTAAAAAACTTTGTTATTTAAGAACAATACTTGTGAAAAAATTATTATTTATGACATGATTATGTAAATAAAAATTTTTGTAAAAACTCATATGAGTTATGACGGGCTTTTTAATGAAGAATATTATTTGTATAATAAAGTTATGTTTATATTCTAACAAATCAAAGCAATCAATTTTTTCGTAGGTAATATTCACATTGCCTTCACATAATGAATCTCAGATATTACTTGATGGTATAAAACAAGTTTCAACTATTTTTGCGGTAAGTAACTTTTAGTTAACTGACTATTTTAAAAAACAAATAAGTTTTTTATAAATAATAATTATAAAACATATGCAATTGAAGGGAGATGCAAGTATTTTTCACGTAGCCATGGAGCAAGGTAGCTGCTCAATTATACCAACTCTAACTGCAGAACGAGTTAATACGAATGGTGACTTTAATACGTACAAAATGATTGACGCAAGGTGAGTACAGAAAAAAGTCAGGTAATAAAAAAGACTTTAGTTTTAAAGGTGCAAAATCAATGTTTCAATAAAATGTAATGTACTCATAGAAATTAAAAAAAGCTTTTAATTAGTAAATAACAGTAAATTTTGAACAGAAACAACTTCATAATTTTTTTCATCAGTCCAAGGTTTTAGACATCTTACCTTGTTAAAATAATTGCTCAGTAAAATTTAAAATGAGGAACAATTACACTCAAGGTCATAATTAAAGTTTTTCGCATAATGTCTGTGGGTCAGTGTGCTGATTGTATGTTGTAATATAAGGAGTTCAATTTGGCAGAATTTGTCTTTATTTACATATAATAAAATCTCGAATGCTTTGTACACCCATAAATTCAGAAGTCCTAGTGGTACTCTTTACCTACGATAGTAAAACTTCATAGTGAAAAAATTAAAAAAACAATTATTACACATTGCTATTTCAACACTAGTGGCTACTATGAAATATTTTTATACTACTTACTTGGTCTTTAATCTTTTTCAGTTTGCTTTACTAACAAAATTATTATGATTCTTACTTAAAATTTTTGTGTTTAAGGACTACCTCTTACAGTTGTATACTTATGTTATACATGGTGTAATAAATACATAAGGTGGGCTCTTCATCCACTGAACCGATCAGCCAATTAGAAGGCTTGGAACTAGCGACCTTTCATATTGGATCTTTCACCAATGAGCTTAGAGAGCGCGCTGTTCAACTACTGCTACACGTAAACAAAAGTATAGGGTAAAAAATTTTACCAATAATTAATACAATTAAAATTTGTTGGGTGCACTACTTTATACATAAAAATAACTTAATACAATTATCTGCTTATTTGTAAGATACACGATGAACACAGTATATTAAATATTTCAACAAACAAATTTGACAATTTTTTTTTTTAATGAGAATTGTGAACGTCAAAATTCAGTTTTTTTGTTTATCTCTAGCAATCTAATTAACGTTATCGTATGTACGAAGCTTTTAATTTAACACTGATTTTTAAGGTAGGTTGTATTTATTTTCAGCAATAGAGTGTAAGTCATTGAACAACGTGCTTTCTATGCTCATTGGTGGAAAATCCAGTATGGAAGATCGCTTGTTCCAATCCTCCTGATTGGTTGATCGGTTCGGTGGCTAAAGAGCCCACCTTATGTGTTCATTTCACCATGATGTTATAGTTGTATAACGTCTAGTGATGTCTATTCTCTATTAATAAGAATAACCATACGGTGTCCCCTGCCGATTAAGTTAATACAGCTTAATTGATTGGTTGCTTTCTCATCCAAAACTCTTGCTTCTTAACATTACTACTTGCTTAATTTAACATCTTTCTGAGTTGAGAAGCTTTACCTCTTTGAGCAATATATAAATCGAATTAACCTATACTTTCTGACACACCCTGTCCTGCTTACTTTCACAAATCTGATAAAAGGCTGAAATAGTAGGCTTAGATAGAACACTAAGATAGTACGCAGTATTAACTTAAGTGGTTTATGACTTTAAGCACTTATCTTATGATCCTAATTTTGCTTCTAATATTTTTGATTAAGAAGATTAAGTTCTGCAAATTGTTTTCATGTCTCAAAATAAATTAAGGACGCACTAATCAACCTACTTTTGTAGCCGTCGCAAAAGAGGTGTCAATGCTTGATCTTCCACCATACGTAAAGGTATAGGTAAATTTCTTCTAATAATTTATTACCATCACATTCTGCTTCATACAAACATCATTACTATCCATACGCTGCACACTAAATTAAAACACTCGGGCATAAAAGTTGCGTTTCAGAGCCAAGACTGAAGCAAGAAAAATTGAACCAACTTTCACTGGGGGATGGGAGGGGTGAAAAGACTTAAAATATTATGTAAATTTTGAAAAATAGTACGATTTTTAAGCAGTTATTGAACTACCTTCTCTTATTACCTTTACTTACGAACTTTTAAGATAAATAAACGTCAGTATGTCACAATATTTATTTGTTTATTAACGTTTTTTTTTTTAAATATGTCACTTTTACAGTATCTGTACATTGTCTCAGTAGATTTCGTGCACATTCTGCGCTTTCACGTATATTATTATTAGTTCCGTGAGATTAGATAATATAACTGTCCATTTTCCTTGTGTTGATCCAACAAGTTTCTTTTTTTATAGTCAAATTTAGTTATCAGTTATCGAATAAAGATTAAATAAAAGATCTAACAAACACAAGTATAATTTAATAATATTCTTACAATTGCTTAAAGTTTAAATGCTCTTTAAAAGCTTTAGACTTTCCCTTTCCCCACTAAAAAATAACTTACTTTACGAAAATGTTTGACTTACTATCAAATAAGACAAAAAAGCTTACACAGCACCTTAATTAAATAAAGAGTTAAATTCTACTTAAATTGCGTTAAAGACTCGACCAAGAAATAATTGCATCAACTCTCCACGACGGTTTAATTGATCAAGAAATTTATTTCCTAATAGAACTTAACACAGTTAAATACTTCATTTGAAATTAACGTTTGTAATAAAAGCACATCGATATTATAAGAGTAAGAGGAAATGTTAAATTTGTAGAAGACAAGGGCAGAAAGTAGAGAATTTCTAGTTTTACTATTTTACAAAATTTAACGCAATAACGCAACGTCCATACACAAAGCTACAAGCCACCGTCCTAAGCCATAATAAAGTTACCAAGAAAGGGCGTATCATAGAGTCAATCATCACTTTTTACTTTCTTCCCTATTTATCAGCCAAATAATAACTGTCAAAATCAACACACACAACAACGAGGATTACACTTGATTGATAACAAAAAATGTCAAATATGTTGAAAACATAGAATTCTTGCAGAAAATAAGTTGACCTTGAATTTACACGAATAAAAAAAGGCATCTTATAAATGGATTTAGTGAGAAGCATTGAAAAGTGACTCAGATTTCACCCAGAGAAGTTGAGGAGAGACCAGAGATTCCACAATTATATTTTTCTGAAACAGACACTTATGCAGACCTGCAAGAAAAAAGCATTTCGACGCGTACAAATTGGTCGTAGTGGTAGTGATTTGAAACCATCTTTTTTGTCAGAATTCTCTACACCTTCTGATTAAAGTCATTGAAAATATTAGTTTTTTCTGTAAATTTTAAATAAATATTTGTCTCTATGAGTTTTTAAACATTTTTAAATTTCAGACGTCAATAAATCCTTAAAAATATTTTGTCAGATTATTAAAATTTTTTTTGTACTAAGCAATACGTATCAATTGTGTAAAGACTCGAGTACTAGCTGATGATAATTTCAAAATTTATCACTTAAGCTTTTATTCTATCAAGTATTTATTAATAAACATAATTTTGGATGTTTTGGCCCATACCGTTCTGTAAATAAGAAGGCCATCATCAGGTAAAAAATGTAATCGTTACACTAGTGACTGTTAGTAGCATGCAGGATGGTGAGGTGAGGTATACAAATATTTATACTAACAAATACTAGATATCATGACTACCCAAGTTATTATTGACAAGTCAATAACTTGCTTACTTTTATAGATTACTGTATTTAAAACTTCAATTTAACTGTATGTTTTTAGGTTACATGTCTTCCATGATGAGTTTATTAAAATATTTTTTATTTTACTAGAATAAGTCTTTTGGCTTAATCGCCACATATATTTTCTGATTAAGATAATATTATTAGTCACGTTCAACGAATGCATATTCGTATATTCGTAGTAATTAACAAATCTTGGACATAAGTTAAATTTATTAATTAGACATTTAAGTATTAAAAATTTTTTTTTTAAATGAATTTGGTGACAGTGATTGATACTCACTTTTAAGATATAAATATGTGTATATATCTACATACATATAGAGCTGATAGCAGGGTATAAGGATAGCTAATATAAGGCAGACGTGCACATGGATCCTAATTCACCCACATAATTACCATCCATACAAATAATTGTTGGCATAAGCTTATTTTTATGAACATATAATTGTATATATGTATTGGTGGAACTCCACCCTCTTCGCGTTCTGCGTGCCAGACCCTGATTATAAGGACTACCACTTCTCCGAAGTACTAAAAAAAGTGTTTGTCGAAAGAGTCTTAGGGAAAATGAAGAATAGACTGTTTACTTCCAATAAAGGGCACAAAGCTCATGTACAAAGAGAATAATGTCATTAACTTACTTTCTCTTTCGATAAGTTTTAGTGGCAGAAGCCCCCTCCTTGCAGTTAGTTTTCTTAAACTTTTAAATAAACTATGTAGCTTATTTAATTTACTTGTACTGAATGAATTTGACTTATAAGGCAATGATAACGCAAAAAAAAGTTGCATACTAAAAGTACATACTTAATTTACCGCATGCTAAGCTAAATATGGAACAAAAAAAATTTTAATCTTAAATTTCAGAAAATACAAATTTTTGCAATGTCTTCTTTTGCCACCCAAAATATTTTATAACTTAATAAGTGCATTGCAAGATTCATTTTATCTTTTTGAAACATATTTTAAGAAGTTATCCTCATATTTATTTAAAATCTTATCACCTGCGACATTTTCCAATAGCAAAAATTACAGAAAAAGTCTTTGTTCCAGAAAACAAGTTGCGCAGGAGCACAACAAGACAAGCTTAAGAAACAGCCAAAGCCTCATCGACAATTATTTCCTTAAGTATCACGTACGTGGAATATTGGAAATTGGTATATTTACTGAATTTACCCTCCCACAATTTTGCCTGCATCAAAAAACTTAAAACTGTAGCATGACATCAAATGGAAATTTATAATAGCCAACACGATTTTGCTTCAACTATATCATCGAAAATATTGATATCTGAAAATCTAGCAAACGTTTGAGCGTAGAAAAAAATTTTTTTATTTAAAAAAATTCAGTTCTTTCACACTTATTGAGCATTTACTATCTGTATGATATAGTAAAAAGCAATTCAATGAAAAAGAGCAGAATATTAGATTGTCAATG